AGCCTATAGAATAGTCTATAATCGAGCCTATAGAATAGTCTATAGTCGAGCCTATAGAATAGTCTATAGTCGAGGCTATAGAATAGTCTATAGTCGAAAGTATAGAATAGTCTATAGACGAGGCTATAGAATAGTCTATAGTCGAGAGTATAGAATAGTCTATAGACGAGACTATAGAATAGTCTATAGTCGAGACTATAGAATAGTCCATAGTCGAGACTATAGAATAGTCTATAGTCGAGACTATAGAATAGTCTATAGTCGAGACTATAGAATAGTCTATAGTCGAGACTATAGAATAGTCTATAGTCGAGACTATAGAATAGTCTATAGTCGAGACTATAGAATAGTCTATAGTCGAGACTATAGAATAGTCTATAGTCGAGACTATAGAATAGTCTATAGTCGAGACTATAGAATAGTCTATAGTCGAGCCTATAGAATAGTCTATAGTCGAGCCTATAGAATAGTTTATAGTCGAGGCTATAGAATAGTCTATAGTCGAGACTATAGAATTGTCTATAGTCGAGACTATAGAATTGTCTATAGTCGAGACTATAGAATTGTCTATAGTCGAGACTATTGAATTGTCTATAGTCGAGACTATTTAATTGTCTCTAGTCGAGACTATTGAATTGTCTATAGTCGAGAAGAATCATACAACACATATAATATGACTGACTTGCTCTTTCATGATTTTGATTATTTAAATAATGTATTACTAGCGAATCTATTAAAATTTGTTAAAAGTACCAGGATTTAGTACCTGATAATATTAGTAGGCGATATAGCCTCAGAATGTTCTCGCAGAATTGCTAGTTTCTCACATTATCTAGTCGAACTTATTAAACTGTGTAGCAATTATTATTTATCACACTGTACTACTGTAAAATAATAACGTATTATCATGAATTAAAATGAAAATAAAAGTTCGATATCATTTCAACTTTTGGCCAATAATATATTTGGGTTAGAGTAACAAAATAACAATGATTATTTGGCACAGACGCCAACACATAAAACAAACTTATTGTAATCTAGAGAATAGACAAAAAATAACGAGATTTTTTTTTCAATATATTCAAGAAGAGTATAAAATAGTACAATTATAAATAATGCTTATGTCATGGTGAAGGCAAAAATCTTTATGATATTTTGGTTTGTTTGTTAATACTTAGATACGAACATGTGTAAATATTAATGCTGTGAATAATAATAAACATAAAACGATGAATTTGTCATAAACATAAACATTGTTAAAAGCAAAAAAAGAAGAAAATCAAAATTAAAAGAAAATGGATTTTCTAATAGGAGAAAAAAAAATGGCAAGAAAAACTGCCAGAAAATGTATACTAAATGATTATGAGGGTCATTGTTAGCCAAAATAAATAGAAAAGCAAAAAAACACACAAAAATAAGCGACAAACAGCGATAAATGACAAATAATCCGAAATAATATCTATACTAAGGCACTCACTCACTGATTATATCAGTGTCTAAAACAATTAACGAAGAAAAAGAAGGGGTTTTGCTAAAATTAAACTGTTTTTTTATATATTGGTCACGAAGAATGGGTTGGAGGGTATGTTTAGATGTTTATGGATTGTTAGATTTTTGCAATTTACCTGAACTCTGGGATCCACTGGAGTGTTATTGCTTTCAGTTGACATATTGATGAATTTGTATGTATATTAATATTTTATTTAAATTTATATTTTTATTAAATTTGTTTAATTTTTCTGTACAAAAAATATCACTTGGTAATACACATAATTATTGCCTTTAAGGAAAATTAATAAGAAATTTGCCCTTTTTTTAAAGAAACCAACAACTTAGTTTAGCAAATTTTTAACAGATTTTTTTGAGAGCAATTTTCTTGCACTTTTCACCTTTTTTATTTTATTATTTATTTTTTTCTTTTCTTTTTATAATTTTACAAAATTTCATAACAATTTTTCTTTTTTGCCTTTTTTTGGTAATACAAATTTTATATTTTTCGTTCAATGAATTTTTCTTCCGTTACCTGCACGTAACATTCACGCGTTTCGTATTTTCTCTACTTCTGTTTGAATGTGGAAAAATTCGTTTTTCTTCATTCAGTTGATAATAATTGTTACTTGCAGCACATATTTTCGATTTTTTATTTTTCTGCTCTACTCTTCTTTTTTGTTGCTGTTGTTGCTCGTAAAATAAAACACAGTTAAATTATCTTTTCGTCTTCACCCTGGTATACAGCCCAAGTTTTATACCCATCACTTCCCCACTGCCTCCCCCAAAAGCACAAAAATAACAACTATCCAATAGAGAAGAAAATGTATCTTCTGTTGTGGGTTTATTTGCAAAGAGTTTTAAACAGCAAACCACCGTGTTAGAGTGCCAACACCGTTACATACTTGTCATCGTTTTACCGTTGTTGTTTATTATTAAATACTACTTGTATTGTTGTTGTTGTTGTTATTTTGTTTTCCCCAACATATACGTGATGCGTATTTTAACATCCCCCATACGCCTACTTTAAGTTCCAATTCAAACTGTTTTTATTTTTTCAATCATTTTTATATTTTTGTGGAGCTAATTGTATTAGATACAAAATCTACTCTCCTATTTAGTAATTTTTTTTCTCTCAATTAGATTTTCATTCTCTGTTTTGTTTAAGATTTGTTTTTGGTTTGACATTCGTATTTGTCATATTGACAAGTGGTTATTGTTTATTTTCTTTTATTGTGGCATTTATCAGACAGTTGTTGTGTTATGTTATTTTTTTGGGTAAAACAGTTTGTGTTTAAACAATTGTATCTATAAGATACAACTATGCTAGTTTCTTATACAGTACTGGGTTGTGAACAAACCGTTATTTTTTAAATTGTAGAAATTTAAAAATTTCTTATGTATCGATGGTCATATGTATATGCCACAGGAAATAGGAAATTATTCCGTAAATTGTATTTTATCGATAGGCGGACATCGGGCCATAATTGATCCTATCGACAGAACAGTCACTATCGACACTGTAGAACAGTCTATAATCGAGACTATAGAATAGTCTGTAGATGAGACTATAGAATAGCCTATAGTCGAGACTATAGAATAGTTTAAAGTCGAGACTATAGAATAGTTTAAAGTCGAGATTGTTGAATAGTCAAGACTACGAATTGTCTTTAGACGAGACTATAGAACAGTCTATAGACGATGCTATAGAACAGTCTATAGTCGAGACTATAGAACAGTCTATAGTCGAGACTATAGAACAGTCTACAGTACTGGGTTCTGCACAAACCGTTATTTTTTAAATTATAGAAATTTAAAAATTTCTTATGTATTGATGGTCATATGTAGATGCCACATGAAATAGGAAATTATTCCGTAAATTGTATTTTATCGTTAGGCGGACATCGGGCAATAAATGATCATATCCGCCGTATAAGGTTGATACTACATCAAATCTAAAGAAATTCACGTAGGCCACTATCGGGCCTCACAGGCATAAAATAGTCAATAGTCGACACTGTAGAACAGTCTATAATCGAGACTATAGTCTATAGTATACACTATAGAACAATCTTTAGTCTAGAACGTAGAATAGTCTATAGACTAGACCGTACAATAGTCTATAGACGAGACTACAGAACGGTCTATAGTCTAGTCCATAGAACAAACTATAGTCGAGTCTATAGAACTGTCTGTAGTCGAGTCCATAGAACTGTCTATATTCGAGTCTATAGAACTGTCTATAGTCCAGACTATAGACTATAGTCGAGACTATAGAACAGCATATAGTCGAGTCTATAGAACAGTCTTTAATCGAGACTATAGAACAGTCAATAGTCGAGACAATAGAACAGTCTATAGTCGAGACTATAGAACAGTCTATAGTCGAGACTATAGAACAGTCTACAGTTGAGACTATAGAAAAGTCTATAATCGAAACTATAGAACAGCCTATAGTCGAGACTATAGAACAGCCTATAGTCGAGACTATAGAACAGTCTATAGTCGAGACTATACAACAGTCAATAGTCGAGACTATAGAACAGTTTATAGTCGAGACTATAGAACAGTCTGTAGTCGAGACTATAGAACAGTCTATAGTCGAGACTATAGCACAGTCAATAGTCGAGACAATAGAACAGTCTATAGTCGAGACTATAGAACAGTCTATAGTCGAGCCTATAGAACAGTCTATAGTCGAGACTATAGAACAGTCTATAGTCGAGACTATAGAACAGTCTATAGTCGAGACTATGGAACAGTCTATAGTCGAGACTATGGAACAGTCTATAGTCGAGACTATGGAACAGTCTATATTCGGGACTATAGAACAGTCTATAGACGAGACTATAGAACAGTCTATAGACGAGACTATAGAACAGTCTATAGTCGAGACTATAGAACAGTCTATAGTCGAGACTATAGAACAGTCTATAGTCGAGAATTATAGAACAGTCTATAGTCGAGACTATAGAACAGTCTATAGTCGAGACTATAGAACAGTCTATAGTCGAGACTATAGAACAGTCTATAGTCGAGACTGTAGAACAGTCTATAGTCGAGAGTATAGAAAAGTCTATAGTCGAGACTATAGAAAAGTCTATAGTCGAGACTATATAACAGCCTATAGTCGAGACTGTAGAACAGTCTATAGTCGAGACTATAGAACAGTCTATAGTCTAGACTACAGAACAGTCTATAGTCTAGACTACAGAACAGTCTTAAGTCTTTGTAAAATTCTGTAAGTTTTATGTTTTTTGTTTGTAATAAATTAAATTAAAATCATCCTCATGGATGATGGAAGTAATGGAACTAGTTGTTGGAAACAAGTAATTAAGCCTAAATTATAGATTTTCTGCAAAGAAAAGAATTTGGGTGGAAATTCATCTGAGCTTTATTGCTTACGTTAAATAACTCATTTCAATAATGAAGCTTTTTATCATTTATTTAAAAGAACAAGTTATTATGACATAGTTTGAACCTTCAGGTATATTAAAAACAACTTTCAAGTCAATTTCTCAATTTCACTTTATTGAAAATTAGTTATTACAAATTTTACATACAATTAACTACAATATGCTAATATGTATTAAAAGATGCATTTTTCCACAACAAAATTTACCAAACAGTAAATGCAATAGTTTTAGGATTTTCCGCTTGACAAACATAATTACATTCCTTCTTACAATCCAAATCATTCATTGAATATTGTCCTTGATGGAACCAGGAATGAACGCAATTCTCGTTACCAAAACTATTATCCGGATTACCTTGAGTAAAGCGATCAAATGTCATGGGAAGTCCAGTGCCAATTGAAAAGAATTTGCCCTCAGTACCCAGATCATTAGATGCCGTCCAATAATAGTTACCGGCATCGTATTGCTGGCGACGTATGTAGTCATTGACAGCATCAAATTCTGCACTATTCTCATAGGTGACCAAATTAGCTTTCATGGTGCGACAATTATGGGCGGCATCATACCAATTAGCCTTGCTGCGAGTCTCAAAATAATAGTATTTAGAACCCAGTCGTACAAAAGGGGCAGCATCAACGTTAGCAAACCAATTGGGTGGTATGCCTGTAATATAGAAATAAAATTTAATTTATTTATTTATTGTTATTTTGAATTTTTTTTAATAATTTATTAAATTATTCTTACCATCATAAGTTGTTGTTTGTAGGCCAGGTACTGCTGACTGACTCAAATGTATTTTTACCAACATTATAATGAAAATGGTTTGTTGTAGTTTCTTCAAGTTTAAAGATGCCATCTTTAGCTACTTTCCAACTGCAGCTTTGTACACCAAGTGATAATTGTTAGCCTTTGCTGTGGTTATTTATAGAAGATTTTTCTTCCTCAACTAAAGCTAGTTCTTGTATCCTGTTTTTGTGCTTATTTTATTTTAGTCGAGTCGAGTTGCGTCTTGTTTTTGTTCTTTCAAAACTGGAATATGTTAAATAGAACATTACATTCTTGTTACACTGAGAGAATGGGTGGTTAAATAATTTGGTACTTTTTTCGGACATGTTTTTTTCTTAAGCAATTAAATGCAGATTTGTATTGTTTAACTTTTTTATGATATACGAATTTAAGTAATAAGTTTTGCATTATGTTATCTTAGAACAAAGTCGAAAAAGTTACTTTTCTCCAAATAAATTTTTTTTAACATTTTCATATATTTTTTGATTTTTTTTTTGCTTAATATTAATATAAAAAAGTATAATTATATCACGTACAAAGTTTTGATTAAATGATAATCTATAAGAGGTTAACTTTTGGTACTTTTTCGTTTTTTCAATTGGTAATTTTTTAATTTTCTATGATTATTAACACAAGATTGAACATGTAGACTCCTAAGTGATTTTTCATTAAATTTATCTAAATCTATTATTATGTGTATTTCAGACTAAGTAGTCTATAGTCTAGTCTTCAGATTAGTCTATAGTCTAGTCTTCAGCCTTCTATATAATCTAGTCTATAGTCTAATCTATAGTCTAGTCTATAGTCTAGTCTATAGTCTAGTCTATAGTCTAGTGTATAGTCTAGTGTATAGTCTAGTGTATAGTCTAGTGTATAGTCTAGTCTATAGTCTAGTGTATAGTCTAGTCTATAGTCTAGTCTATAGTCTAGTGTATAGTCTAGTCTATAGTCTAGTCTATAGTCTAGTCTATAGTCTAGTCTATAGTCTAGTGTATAGTCTAGTCTATAGTCTAGTCTATAGTCTAGTCTATAGTCTAGTCTATAGTCTAGTCTATAGTCTAGTCTATAGTCTAGTCTATAGTCTATAGTCTAGTCTATATTCTAGTGTATAGTCTAGTCTATAGTGTAGTCTATAGTCTAGTCTATAGTCTAGCCTATAGTCTAGTCTATAGTCTAGTCTATAGTCTAGTCTATAGTCTAGTCTATAGTAGTCTATAGTCTAGTCTATAGTCTAGCCTATAGTCTAGTCTATAGTCTAGTCTATAGTCTAGTCTATAGTCTAGTCTATAGTCTAGTCTATAGTCTAGTCTATAGTCTAGTCTATAGTCTAGTCTATAGTCTAGTCTATAGTCTAGTCTATAGTCTAGTCTATAGTCTAGTCTATAGTCTAGTCTATAGTCTAGTCTAGTCTATAGTCTAGTCTATAGTCTAGTCTATAGTCTAGTCTATAGTCTAGTCTATAGTCTAGTCTATAGTCTAGTCTATAGTCTAGTCTAGTCTATAGTCTAGTCTATAGTCTAGTCTATAGTCTAGTCTATAGTCTAGTCTATAGTCTAGTCTATAGTCTAGTCTATAGTCTAGTCTATAGTCTAGTCTATAGTCTAGTCTATAGTCTAGTCTATAGTCTAGTCTATAGTCTAGTCTATAGTCTAGTCTATAGTCTAGTCTATAGTCTAGTCTATAGTCTAGTCTATAGTCTAGTCTATAGTCTAGTCTATAGTCTAGTCTATAGTCTAGTCTATAGTCTAGTCTATAGTCTAGTCTATAGTCTAGTCTATAGTCTAGTCTATAGTCTAGTCTATAGTCTAGTCTATAGTCTAGTCTATAGTCTAGTCTATAGTCTAGTCTATAGTCTAGTCTATAGTCTAGTCTATAGTCTAGTCTATAGTCTAGTCTATAGTCTAGTCTATAGTCTAGTCTATAGTCTAGTCTATAGTCTAGTCTATAGTCTAGTCTATAGTCTAGTCTATAGTCTAGTCTATAGTCTATAGTCTAGTCTATAGTCTAGTCTATAGTCTAGTCTATAGTCTATAGTCTAGTCTATAGTCTAGTCTATAGTCTAGTCTATAGTCTAGTCTATAGTCTAGTCTATAGTCTAGTCTATAGTCTAGTCTATAGTCTAGTCTATAGTCTAGTCTATAGTCTAGTCTATAGTCTAGTCTATAGTCTAGTCTATAGTCTAGTCTATAGTCTAGTCTATAGTCTAGTCTATAGTCTAGTCTATAGTCTAGTCTATAGTCTAGTCTATAGTCTAGTCTATAGTCTAGTCTATAGTCTAGTCTATAGTCTAGTCTATAGTCTAGTCTATAGTCTAGTCTATAGTCTAGTCTATAGTCTAGTCTATAGTCTAGTCTATAGTCTAGTCTATAGTCTAGTCTATAGTCTAGTCTATAGTCTAGTCTATAGTCTAGTCTATAGTCTAGTCTATAGTCTAGTCTATAGTCTAGTCTATAGTCTAGTCTATAGTCTAGTCTATAGTCTAGTCTATAGTCTAGTCTATAGTCTAGTCTATAGTCTAGTCTAGTATAGTCTAGTCTATAGTCTAGTCTATAGTCTAGTCTATAGTCTAGTCTATAGTCTAGTCTATAGTCTAGTCTATAGTCTAGTCTATAGTCTAGTCTATAGTCTAGTCTATAGTCTAGTCTATAGTCTAGTCTATAGTCTAGTCTATAGTCTAGTCTATAGTCTAGTCTATAGTCTAGTCTATAGTCTAGTCTATAGTCTAGCCTATAGTCTAGTCTATAGTCTAGTCTATAGTCTAGTCTATAGTCTAGTCTATAGTCTAGTCTATAGTCTAGTCTAGTCTAGTCTAGAGCCTAGTCTATAGTCTAGTCTATAGTCTAGTCTATAGCCTAGTCTATAGCCTAGTCTAGAGTCTAGTCTATAGTCTAGTCTAGAGCCTAGTCTATAACCTAGTCTATAACCTAATCTATAGTCTAGTCTATAGCCTAGTCTATAGTCTAGTCTATAGCCTAGTCTATAGTCTAGTCTATAGTCTTCAGACTAGTCCATGGTCTAGGCTTCAGACTAGTCCAGCATAACTTTTATGCTGCAGTCTTTAGGCTAGTCTATAGTCTAGTCTTCAGATTAGCCTATAGTTTGGTTTTCAGATTAGTCTTTAGTCTAGTCTTTAGCGTAGTCTAGTCTATGGTCTAGTGTATAGTCTTGTTCATAATTTATTTATGGTCTGTTCTATTTTCTAATAGAAAATTTCTTTAGTACTTTAAAACCATAAAAGTACTATTTTTCTTATAACTTAGTACTATTTAAAAATTTAAATTTCCCATGCCTGATTTCTGCTATCATTTAGGAATAATAATGATATAGTAGTCACAAACGTTTCATTCTGATTCATATTTCCTTTTACACAAACCTGTTATACCGGTCAAAATTTTGTACTAAAAAATATGACCACCAAAAACATCTTGCCCTACCTTAGCACAGACCCGAACCTCAACATTAATTAAATCAACAAATTGTAAAGAGTAAATCAGAGAAAATAGGGAGAATAAGTTAAAAACCATGTAAACAATTAACTAGTTGAACTCTCAATTACACAAAAAAATGCGTATAATAGGAGAGTGAATGCAATTTGAACAAAAATTAGTTAGAGGACTTGTATCTAACAAGTTGAGGTATCTATAAGTATAAACAAAATTCAAAACAATTTTATTGACATTTAAAAAACTAGCTCTAAAAGTGAGAGTGATGAGCATAGAGTAGTACAAACAAAATGCAGCAGTAATATTGCGTTAAATGAGCATGAGCATGAATAAAATTGAGATAATTTAGTACGAGACTTAACAAAAAAAAAAAAAAAAAATAAAATACTTAACGTTTGTAGATATGTACGTACGAATGAATGAGTAGCAAACCAAACCAAAAAGAAGTGTATCTTATTAGACAAAAAGTTTTAAACACTTTTAATTCAGTCTACGAAGAGATTTCAAAGCGAACGGTTGGAATTGAAGAAGAATAAAAATTTTAATAAAAATATATTGGAAATAATCTAGCGGTTGTTAAATAAAAAAGTCAAATAATAAAAGTTTAATTTAATGACAAAAAAATCTAGATAATTTTTGAGTGTGTTGTTTTTGAATGGATAAAACAAAAAATTTACGACATCTTTGATGAAAATTTAATTGAAAAAAATGTATGTGAGTGTGAAGGTGTAATAAAGTTTTAATTAAAAAAAATATTACAAAATGTAAAAGTAATAATGGTTTTTTAAATTTTTACAAAAATCCAAAAAAGAATTTATGGTTTAAGCAACAATTAGCAGAAAAATGTATATTAACTAATGGCATTAAATGTACAAAAATAAATAATTTAAAATACTAAAAGAAAATCAATATTTGCGTAACAAAAAAAAAATAATAACAAGCAACTAAAAAGGAATATAAAACTAAAAAATATAACAACATAATTTTACTATTTATTAAACTAAAACGAAATTGAATAAAATAGAAAAATTTTTAAAACTAAATTATTTATCTTAGTATCTATTAGATAATCACTCAACAGTAAAGTGCTCAACAAATTTTCCATTTAATTTATTCTTAAATGTATTTTTCTTGTAAAATTTTAAAATATTTTTCTTTGTTTTGAAAAAAATTTACAAAAATATATAATTATTATGTAAATTGCATTTAAAAGCTTTAAACAAAAACAATTTAAGAAAACAAAAATTTTAATAAATTAAACTAAATTAGTGTGGAACTTTTGTATGGGAGAACCAAAAATAAAATCGAAAAAACACAATTTGTATAAAAATGAAAACATGCTTTGCGTCAGCTTTTTTTGTCTATTTAACTTATATTTTTTTGCCAGTTTCCTTTACCTTCTTCCTTCCTTGTGTATTATTTCCTTCTTTAGTTCCTCTTTTTGTTGAACTTCTATTCTAATTCGTTTAGCTACACCTCTTTCTTCTTCATTTCTCCATTTTGTCTGTATTTCCGCATGTCTCCTCATATGGTTTTGGGTTCTTTATTTTTGCGTATATTTTTTTTGGTAACTTACGGACGCGGTTCCTTTATGGATTTGTCTGTGGTTGTCTGTTTGCTGAAGATAAAGTCAAGAATGTTTGTGTTTTTTTTTTTTTGCTTATTTAGACATGTGTGTTGTTGTATTCGGGTTCTGGTTTGAGGCACCCTACTTGAAAAGTTTTGGTTTTTGCATGTTTTTAAGGAGTTTTCTCTTGTTGTGTCTAGCCTAAAAATTTTGTCTGGAAAAGATTTTTTTTTGGAATTTTCGGAATGCTTATGATGAGAAAGTGTAATTGAATCATCAGACAATGATTTCATAAATGTAATATATTTTAAGGCGTATTTAATAGATAATAAATATTTTTTTTGGTATAAAAAATGGTCATAAATTCCCTCCTCTTAGGTGTGAAATTGGTTTTATATAAAGTTTACTTCATCACATTCAAGTTTAGGAAAACATTCTACGACCAATCCTACAAATATTCCATAAAGATTAATTAAATCTAACTAGTTAGTTAGTTAGTTTGAAAGGAGGATGTATATACATCAAATCCGAAGAAATACACTTAGGCCTCTATCGGGCCTGTTGTGCGCTCCTTAACCAGTGCCTCAGGTGGGAATCGAACCCACCACCTCCGGTCTACCAGACTAAAACACTAACCACTAACCTACCGGAGGCCACTCTAACTAACTTCTAATTAAATATTATTAATGATAAAAGACTATTTGATTTTTGAAACTTGGGACTAATTATATCTATTCTATATAACCTATTCTTTATAATTAAACTCAGGACTTCTGGTAGACTAAACAACATTTTTCCATCAAACATAAGTCCAAATAGACTCAAATTTACTCTTTACAAAATGGTCACAAAACGAAAATCGGGACAAATCGACGATCTTATGCGATTCAGAGAAACATTCACACTAATCAAATTCAGAATAAACATTACTTCATGTTGATAACAAATTACTCATCATACCCCAGCAAATCTTCATGATGGATGGAGGCCAGAACAATGATATCCAATTATCGAAAATTGCTTTTGGAATTCAGTCTCTCTAACATCGAAACTGACTCGATGTTTTATCGCAAAATTGCGTTCAGAATTGAGGCTTATTTTTGCTTAACAGATTTGTTAGTAACCTACAAATTAAAGTATGCTAAAGCCCTGATTCCGAAACAGGACTCAGCATCTATCCATCATATTTATTATGTTCTTGAGATATTGTTTTAAAAAGTTTGGAAAAACACGTTTTGGGATGTTATAACATACATCTTTAGACATCTTTATTTAAAGTCCAATCTGCCGACTTCAAAATAATCTCTCATATACATATGTATGTATGTACCTTTTTTTACTTACAAATATGGATGAAATTTATCCGAAATTTATCTTGATTTCGCGAATCAGACAATAAGTATTAATTAGGAAAGTTAAACATATGCCCACTATTAAAACCTTGTTATTATATTGATATTAATATGATGAGGGACTTGGGGACTAAGTTTAATAATGAACCGAACTCTTCAGATTCTAATAAGTTAATCAGTTTTTATCGGATTTTTTCTTAATACCTTGGGTTTTAAAAGATTTATTGGCAATTAACTGATTTCCTGCAAGAACAGATTATATGGGTGGGCAGGGTTAATTATGGACTGACGATTATGGAATTTGGTAGAGAATTTATAGTCCAAATATGTATAAATTTCATCACTAGTATTTTAAAGCGAGTTATGAACTTTAAAATCATTTTCTGAAGGGAACCCTATATGAGGTATATGGGATCGAGTTTTATGCACTTTCAACACTGCTTCAAGAAACTCTTTTTCCAAATTAGCTCCTATCGTATTTTTAACAGACAGACGGATAAACATAGATGTATGGCTAGATCATCGAATAAATCGAATTTTGTGGTTCTACGAGCAATATTTCCCCTGGTGGGTATAAAAAATGAATAAGTTAATTTAAGTCACGAAAGCAAATTTTCTAAAGGCTGTCAATGAAATTGAAACTGGTACTTATGGTTTTTCGATTTATAGTCTAAGTATCTTAAAACGTAAACACCCTTAGACTTCTTAAGAAGACCCTCGAATAAAATTATATTAATAAAATTCTTTAATGTAAATATATTTTTAAAATTTTAACCAATAGAATTTCCTAAATACTTTATAATAACAACAACAACAACCTCTACAAAATAAAAGCTTTTTTCCTAAAACAAAACATATCGACCTAAATTCTTACCATACATTATGATTTTTTATATACTTCTCGACAGCTTTTAAAATCTAAAATGTAGGGTAATGTAGGGTCGTACTTGACCATGAATAATTTCCTTTTTTTTGTCCATATTCTTACTTTTTGTTTTTGTTTTTATTTTATTTTCTTTCCTTTTTCTTCTTCTGGTATTTTTTACGACTATTTTTTTCATTTTGCCCTTTTTTGTGCTACACTGGTTTCTCTGCAAGAGCTTCCTGCACTTGTATCTTTTGTCGCGCCCTTTTTGTTTATTTTTGTTGTTGCTTTTACAGTTTTTTCTTGTTGTATCCATACTAGAGCTCCTCATGCACTAGTCCGCTCTCTGTGTACTTGTATGAGTACATACTAGTACAAGTACTTTTTTTATTTTCTAAATTTCATGTGCTTTTTTTTGTTTTTCTTCAACAACATTGGAAAACAAGCAGAAAAGTATCCAACAAAACAGTTTGTTTTGTTTGTTTTTATTGTTGTTCTAGTACAAGGTACAATTTTATTATTTTTACTACGTTTTTTTTTTTGTTTGTTTGAAGAGAGGCCCCTTTTGTACCATGCGTTAGGCGTAGAACCAGTATTTAAGTTTTTGACTGCTTGACTGATTTGCTGATGATGGTTCTTTTTTTAATAAAATTTTCAGGTTTTTTTTAAATATTTTTTCTGTTGTTTACAAATATAATTTAGGTTTTTGTTGTTGTTACTTATTTCTTTTCATTCATGGTTATTTTTTGTTTTCGTATTTTTTTTATAAAAAAATATATTATTGTCGTCTTCATCATCGTTGTCATAATCATTTGTTATCGTCTCATTCAATGTTGTTTTACACTTTTCTTCCGTTTCTTGTTTTACAACGAACAAGTTTACGTTTTAACGTTTTGTTTTTGTGTTTTTTTTTTTTTGAGGGGAATTAAGCACTTAATTAAAATTGTACCTGTTACTCTCCCTATTATAAGAATTTTTATTATTTTTTAAATTAAAAAAATGTTGTTGTTCGGATTTTTCGATGGAATAAGAATATAATCAAATCTGTTCCAATTCTATTACGAACATTTTTGTAAAAACTATTGTTTATATTAGACTAATAGACTAAACTATAGAATACGCCATAGACTAGACTATAGAATACACATTAGACTAGACTAAATACTAGACTATAGACTAGACTATAGACTATATTATAGGCTAGACTATAGTTTATACTATTGTCTAGACTATAGACTAGACTATAGATTAGACTATAGACTAGACTATAGGCTAGATTATAGACTAGATTATAGACTAGACTATAGACTAGACTATAGACTAGACTAGACTAGACTATAGACTAGAAGACTATAGACTAGACCTATAGACTAGACTATAGACTAGACTATAGACTAGACTATAGGCTAGACTATAGACTAGACTATAGACTAGACTGTAGACTAGACTATAGACTAGACTATAGACTAGACTATAGACTAGACTATAGACTAGACTATAGACCATACTATAGACTAGACTATAGACTAGACTATAGACTAGACTATAGACTAGACTATAGACTAGACTATAGACTAGACTATAGGCTAGACTATAGACTAGACTATAGACTAGACTATAGGCTAGACTATAGACTAGACTATAGACTAGACTATAGACTAGACTATAGACTAGACTATAGACTAGACTATAGACTAACTATAGACTAGACTATAGACTAGACTATAGACTAGACTATAGACTAGACTATAGACTAGAGTATAGACTAGACTATAGACTAGACTATAGACTAGACTATATACTAGACTAGACTAGACTATAGACTAGACTATAGACTAGACTATAGACTAGACTATAGACTAGACTATAGACTAGACTATAGACTAGACTATAGACTAGACTATAGACTAGACTATAGACTAGACTATAGACTAGACTATAGACTAGACTATAGACTAGACTATAGACTAAACTATATACTAGACTATAGACTAGACTATAGACTAGACTATAGACTAGACTATAGACTAGACTATAGACTAGACTATAGACTAGACTATAGACTAGACTATAGACTAGACTATAGACTAGACTATAGACTAGACTATAGACTGGACTATAGACTGGACTATAGACTAGACTATAGACTAGACTATAGACTAGACTATAGACTAGACTATAGACTAGACTATAGACTAGACTATAGACTAGACTATAGACTAGACTATAGACTAGACTATAGACTAAACTATATACTAAACTATAGACTAAACTATATACTAAACTATATACTAAACTATATACTTAACTATAGACTAGACTATAGACAAGACTATAGACTAGACTATAGACTAGACTATAGACTAGACTATAGACTAGACTATAGACTAGACTATAGATTAGACTATAGACTAGACTATAGACTAGACTATAGACTAGACTATAGACTAGACTATAGACTAGACTATAGACTAGACTATAGACTAGACAATAGACTAGACTATAGACTAGACTATAGACTAGACTATAGACTAGACTATAGACTAGACTATAGACTAGACTATAGACTAGACAATAGACTAGACTATAGACTAGACTATAGACTAGACTATAGAATAGACTATAGACTAGACTATAGACTAGACTATAGACTAGACTATAGACTAGACTATAGACTAGACTATAGACTAGACTATAGACTAGACTATAGACTAGACTATAGACTAGACTATAGACTAGACTATAGACTAGACTATAGACTAGACTATAGACTAGACTATAGACTAGACTATAGACTAGACTATAGACTATAGACTAGACTATAGACTAGACTATAGACTAGACTATAGACTAGACTAGACTAGACTATAGACTAGACTATAGACTAGACTATAGACTAGACTATAGACTAGACTATAGACTAGACTATAGACCAGACTATAGACCAGACTATAGACTAGACTATAGACTAGACTATATACTAAACTATATACTAAACTATAGACTTGACTATAGACAAGACTATAGACTAGACTATAGACTAGACTATAGACTAGACTATAGACTAGACTATAGACTAGACTAGACTAGACTATAGACTAGACTAGACTAAACTAGACTAAACTATAGACTACACTATAGACTACACTATAGACTACACTTTAGACTACACTATAGACTATTCTTGAGTTAAAAAGATTCAGCTACAATAAAATAAAATTTGTTATCGCAATAAAACTTTTTTATTAAAATATAGTTTTTTATGTATAAATAGGCACAATTTTGTAAATTTATTCTAAACTAATAGTACTTTTTTACATACAACTTTACTACTAAAAAAACATTCCCACAAAAAGTACCAAATAATGTTATGCGCTTATGACAACAAAATAAACAATATGTTCTTTCACCATAATAAAACCATAAATTTTCTCTCAATTTTTCTTACGACACAACACGTTTTTATGTCGCGTGCGTATTTAAAAATAAAACTAGAAAAACAACAACAATGTAAACAATAAATAATAAAACCGAAAATGAAACCATAAAAGAAACAATTACCTAAGCAACAAAAATATTAAAGATAAAAATATCTAACCCTTCTTTTTCTTTATTTTTTTAATCTTGCAGATAAATTCAAAATAAAAATTTCAAAATAATCCCAAGCAAATAATTTTAAACGAAGAAAATTGTGCAAAAAACATGAATATTCTCCAATACAATAAAAAATATTAAGAGAACAAAAAAAGCAGAATACATATAAATATCTCACCTCAACAGCATTTGGATTAAGCTCTATTGTGTTTCCTTTGGGTCGATGCCAACGAACAAAAAAACCCAACAAACTACCAAGTAACTCTGGTCTGTTTATTGTGTCTGGGTTGGTTGTTTCCAAAAAAGATAAAACAACCACCTTTTTTTGCTAACAAAAGCAACAATAACAACAAACAAAAATACTGTCATCACATATAAAAAATAAGTTTAAATCGCAGTTTAATTTGAAACATATATAAAATTCTTGCAATTTTTGTGCTTTCGAAAAAAAAGAAAAAAATTCTCATCAAGCAGTATATTGTTAAAAGAAAACAAAAGAAAATCAGCAGACGACTGTCAGCCAGACAACAACTTGAACAACATCTTGAGTTGAAAATCTAAAATAAAATAAAATCGAATAAACATTTTAAATTTACAGAATATTGACAATATTCTACTTGTTATTGTTCCACAACACAAAAAGTTTATTCTTAATTGGATTTTGTTTGTTTTTTTTTGCGCCTTATACATCAAATGTGCTCCATGATTAAATCATCATTTGCTGCTTTGTCTTCATCAGTGTCATCTTTATTGTTGGTCGCATGAATTCAAGTTATTATAAGGTAAGTGACTTTTTCTTTTAAATTTTAATTAGATTTCGGTATTTTGGTTTAAAATCAATTTTTATTGAATACTTAGTTTGTACTTGTTTTCGGATTTTTTTAAAGTTGTTTATCAACCAAAGCCAAAATATAGTAGAATTAACTGAAAAGTATTGTGTCATAGTTTTTTTTAATGAAAAAAAAAAAAAAAATCAATCAATAACCCAGCAAAATATTTGCAAATCTTTACACATTGGTATTTTAAATATATTTTTCAGAATCTGAGCTATTAGACGGAAAATAGCTCAGAATCTGAACTATTTTCTAGACGGAAAATAGCTCAGAATCTGAACTATTTTCTAGACGGAAAATAGCTCAGAATCTGAACTATTTTCTAGACGGAAAATAGCTCAGAATCTGAACTATTTTTTAGACGGAAAATAGCTCAGAATCTGAACTATTTTTTAGACGGAAAATAGATCAGATTCTGAACTATTTTCTAGACGGAAAAAATAGCTCAGATTCTGAACAGTTTCCAGACGGAAAATAGCTTAGTTTCTGAACTATTTTCTAGATGGAAAATAGCTTAGATTCTGAACTATTTTCTAGACGGAAAATAGCTTAGATTCTGAACTATTTTCTAGACGGAAAATAGCTTAGATTCTGAACTATTTTTTAGACGGAAAATAGCTCAGATTCTAAACTATTTTCTAGACAGAAAATAGCTCAGAATCTGAACTATTTTCTAGACGGAAAATAGCTCAGAATCTGAACTATTTTCTAGACGGAAAATAGCTCAGAATCTGAACTATTTTCTAGAAGGAAAATAGCTCAGAATCTGAACTATTTTCTAGACGGAAAATAGCTCAGAATCTGAACTAAATTCTAGACGGAAAATAGCTCAGAATCTGAACTATTTTCTAGACGGAAAATAGCTCAGAATCTGAACTATTTTCTAGACGGAAAATAGCTCAGAATCTGAACTATTTTCTAGACGGAAAATAGCTCAGAATCTGAACTATTTTCTAGACGAAAAATAGCTCAGAATATTTTCTAGACGGAAAATAGCTCAGAATCTGAACTATTTTCTAGACGGAAAATAGCTCAGAACCTGAACTATTTTCTAGACGGAAAATAGCTCAGAATCTGAACTATTTTCTAGACTGAAAATAGCTCAGAATCTAAACTATTTTCAAGACGGAAAATAGCTCAGAATCTAAACTATTTTCTAGACGGAAAATAGCCCAGAATCTGAACTATTTTCTAGACGGAAAATAGCTCAAAATCTGAACTATTTTCTAGACGGAAAATAGCTCAAAATCTGAACTATTTTCTAGACGGAAAATAGCTCAGAATCTGAACTATTTTCTAGACGGAAAATAGCTCAGAATCTGAAATATTTTCTAGACGGAAAATTGCTCAGAATCTGAACTATTTTCTAGACGGAAAATAGCTCAGAATCTGAACTAGACGGAAAATAGCTCAGAATCTTAATTATATCCTAGACGGAAAATAGCGCAGAATCTGAACTATATTCTAGGCGGAATCTGAACTATTTTCTAGACGGAAAATATCTCAGATTCTGAATTATATTCTTGACGGAAAACTGTTCAGATTCTCAACTATTTCTAAACGGAAAATAGCTCAGAATCTGAGTGAATTAAAGCTCAGAACCTGAACTATATTCGGACAAAAACGTCTGAAACAGAAACATAAAAACTGAACGAGATTCAGACTAAGACATTTTAAAACGGTTGACTTCGGGTTTTTCATTTCATTTGAAAACTTTTGCTGGGATAAACAAAAAATTTTGCTACTTTGCCAAAATTCTAGTTAAATAACTGTACAAATATTTTCGTTATTATAAATAAAGGAAAAACATTTCCATTTAAAAACAGAATGTTCTCGTTTTATAAACACGTGAGGGAAAACTGTCATTCAAAAATATCGCACTTAAAGAATATTCATCAAAATGTATACATTTGAAGGAACTCATTCACATTTTAAAATACATATAGATCTGCTACATTTAAAAATCTTAAAAATTTAAAAATATTTATTACGACATTTTTTCCTTTTCCATACCACTGTACTGTGTAAATTGAACTTTTTGTTGATTTCTTAACTAAATATCACTACTTCTTATTAAAATTTTCTTTCTTGCCGCCTGTCTAACAGACACATAAAGTTATTGACACCAAAAACTTGCATAAATTCTAAATTTACGCTGGCAACTAAATAAACTTCAATATATTATTCAACTCCTTGCTCTTTTTTCATTCATTTTTTTCCTACCAACTAACAAATACAATTGAAGTTGACAAAAGAACCCATTGTTGGTGCAAAATAGAGAAAAAACAAAAAAAGTATTTTTATATAAAAAAAAACTACAAAAATTAATTGAAAAATAGCAAAGAATTTAACAAACAAGAAACTATAGATAAGAAACTTCTTATTTTGCCACACAATAATGGATGAACTGAATAAATGAATGAATAAAATGTATCATCATTCAGTTATATTTAATTGAGTTTCATTATTTTCTATATAAGCTAGTAGTTGTGAACAAAGAATAGAGAAAAGAACTTCCTAGAAACCACAACAAATGCCAAAGTGTAACTGGAAAATCGTGTCAATTTAATTCAAATAATTGTACATAAATTACAAAACAGCAGCAGCAGCAGCAAGAGCAACATTATTAATATTATTTTAATAAATGTTGTAGATATGCATAAATAAAATAAATTTATGTTTAAATGATTAATATTTATTAGATAAATGTTGTTTATTAATGGTTTTTTAAATAGTTTGCAAAATGATAAAACAAAATATTAAAATAAAAATGCATAAATATATATAGAGAGAATTCCAAAGATAGTTAAGAACCTGAACTATATTCTTGATTGAAAATAGCTCAGAATCTAAACTATTCTCTAGACGGAAAATAGCTCAGAATCTGAACTATTCTTTAGACGGGAAATAGCTCAGAATCTGAAAAATTTTCTAAATGGAGAATAGCTCAGAATCTGAACTATTTTCTAGACGCAGAATAGCTCAGAATCTGAACCATTTTCTAGACGGAAAATAGCTCAGAAACTGAACCATTTTCTAGACGGAAAATAGCTCAGAATCTGAACCATTTTCTAGACGGAAAATAGCTCAGAATCTGAACTATTTTCTAGACGGAAAATAGCTCAGAATCAGAACTATTTTCTAGACGGAAAATAGCTCAGAATCAGAACTATTTTCTAGACGGAAAATAGCTCAGAATCTGAACTATTTTCTAGACGGAAAATAGCTCAGAATCTGAACTATTTTCTAGACAAAAAATAGCTCAGAATCTGAACTATTTTCTAGACGGAAAAAAGCTCCGAATCTGAGCTATTTTCTAGAGGGAAAATAACGCAGAATCTGAACTATTTTCTAGACGAAAAATAGCTCAGACTCAGAACTATTTTCTAGACTGTAAATAGCTCAGAAACTGAACTATTTTCGAGACTGTAAATAGCTTATAATCTGAACTATTTTCTAGACGGAAAAGAGCTCAGAATCTGAACTATTCTCTAGACGGAAATAGCTCAGAATTTGAACTATTTTCTACACTGTAAATAGCTTAAAATCTGAACTATTTCCTAGACGCAAAATAGCTCAGAATCTGAACTATTTCCTAGACGCAAAATAGCTCAGAATCTGAACTAATTTCTAGACGGAAAATAGCTCAGACTCCGAACTAATTTCTAGACGGAAAATAGCTCAGAATTTGAACTATTTTCTAGACGGAAAATAGCTCAGAATCTGAACTATTTTCTAGACGGAAAATAGCTCAGAATCTGAACTATTTTCTAGACGGAAAATAGCTCAGAATCTGAACTATTTTCTAGACGGAAAATAGCTCAGAATCTGAACTATTTTCTAGACGGAAAATAGCTCAGAATCTGAACTATTTTCTAGACGGAAAATAGCTCAGAATCTGAACTATTTTCTAGTCGGAAAATAGCTCAGAATCTGAACTATTTTCTAGACGAAAAATAGCTCAGAATCTGAACTATTTTCTAGACGGAAAATAGCTCAGAATCTGAACTATTTTCTAGTCGGAAAATAGCTTAGAATCTGAACTATTTTCTAGTCGGAAAATAGCTCAGAATCTGAACTATTTTCCAGACGGAAAATATCTCAGAATCTGAACTATTTTCTAGACGGAAAATAGCTCAGAATCTGAACTATTTTCTAGACTGTAAATAGCTTAGAATCTGAACTATTTTCTAGACGGAAAATGGCTAAGAATCTGAACTATTTTCTAGACGGAAAGTATCTCAGAATCTGAACTATTTTCTAGACGGAAAATAGCTCAGAATCTGAACTATTTTCTAGACTGTAAATAGCTTAGAATCTGAACTATTTTCTAGACGGAAAATGGCTAAGAATCTGAACTATTTTCTAGACGGAAAATAGCTAAGAATCTAAACTATTCTCTAGACAGAAATAACACAGAATCTGAGATATTTTCTAGACGGAAAATAGCCCAGAATCTGAACTATTTGTTAGGCAAAAAATAGCTCAAGATATAAACTAACTCTAGACAGCAAATTGTACCGATTCTGAACTACAATCGGTACAAAAAAAAAATCGGTACGCGAATATAGCTATACAAGAATTAGATAATAATCTAAACTAATTCTAGACTGCAAATAGTACCGAGTGTGAACTATGATCAATACAAAATACGACAATTATTTCTCAACTCAACAAAATGTACAACATATAGTCACACAATAATTAGACTTTACTTAACCCCGTTTCAAAACAACATAAT